GAATGGACTCCACGACAGTGGGTGTGGTTTGGGCTTTGCTTCTGTGAAGATTGACAGCCTTGGAGACCCTGTGTGGGCAGTTCCACTCTGTCCTCTAGGGGCGCTGTGGGTCGGAATGGACTAGACAGCAGCAGGTTGTTTAATGAGTTGGACCTAGCTTCTAGCCTAACAGCTTGCCCCTAATCCCTACTAGACTTCCTTCAGTGAATGGAGGCCACTGAGTTTAGGGTCACTGGGTCGGAATCGACTGCAGCAGTGGGTTCGAGTTCGGGTTTGGGCCCTGGAGTGAGCTGGCTGTCATGCCTATGGTGTTTTTCGGTCGGGCTCCTTGTTCTGTTGCTCTGTGTCAGAGGAGGCTTTTACATGTTCTGGTCCCACCCGAGGCCCAGGTGTTCTGTCTTGGGGTGTCATCCTGCAGAGTGGAGGGAAGGACTTGCCAGGTGGAGCTGGTGAGCTCAAGGCGGTGGGAGGAGGCTTCGTGCTGGGTGTGTGGCTGGGCCCGGGAGGCCTGTGTTTGCTGCTGAAGCCACTGAGAGGCTGAAGCCCCTCCTCCCTGAGAGTGTAGGCATCCAGCCAACCCCCTGTGCCTCAGTGGGGGACAAGGACCCGCTCGAGAGCTGAGCTCTCCTCTGGAGACTGGGCTGAGGCCAGTGTGGTTGCCCCAGAAGCACTGAGATGGGGGGCAGCTAGAGCATGTGTGGAGCAGAGAGCAGAGTGGGAGGCTGGTCGGGGTCCCGTGGCCTTGGGGGTGATAGGTCAGGAGGGGCCAGTCCCACCCTGACTGGTCTCTCCCTGTGGCTCTTGTTGGCAGATGAGGCCGAGGCTGGGTGGGGAGGCCATGCTGGGTGGTAGGGAGCCCAGTGACAGCAGGGCTCAGGAGCGGCTCTTGCCTTCAGCCCTCACCCTCCGGGACCACCCCTTTCTCAGCCGCCCTTCCCCTCCTCTTCCTCACCTGCTGGTGCCGGGCTTCTCTAGAACCCGCAGGATGCTGGTCTCTGCAGCTCTGACCAGGCTGCCACCGGGTCTTACCTGGTTCAGCCTCTGCACGTGGCTTGGGTTATCTGTCCCTGACACGGTCTCACCGCAGCCATCTTGTCCCCATCCTTTGTCCTGGTTCTGCATTCCTGGACTGTGGGCACCAAGGAGACAGGGCCTCAGCTTCTGGGTGGGGCTGTGCGGAGAGAGAGGCCCGGGGCAGTGGGAACAGAGGCCCTGCGGGGGTTGAATGTGCTTGCCCTTGGCCATTGTCGTTTCCAGAAGGAGCAGGTGGACTGGTGCTGCGCTGGGGCGGGAGGCCCGTGTGATCACCGCCTCGTCCAAGTCTGCTGAGTCCTGGGCTGTGTAGCCGTGGTCAGCGCTTGCACGGGCGGATCCAGGCTTCAGTGCCCCGTCTCATACCTGTGTGCTGTTGCCGTCTGAGTCTTGATGGACAACTGGGATGCGGGGGGAGCACAGGGAGGTCGGCCGGGAAGACCACAGAGGCACCACATCTGTGTTGGGCTGCCGCACTGCAGACTTGAGTGTGGCTTGTGCTCTGCTGCTGTGTCCTGGGTGCTTGGTTCAGGAGCAAGGGGCTGCCCCGAGGGCCTTCTCTGAGGCACGGCTCCTGGTGCCTGAGTCTCACCCACTGCCTGGCTCCCCTCTGCTCTGGGCTCCAGGGTTCGAGAATAGCTGTGGAGCAGGTGTGGCTCTCAGGAGACTCGGTAGTCCTACTGTTTGGCGGCCCTGAGCCAGTGTTGGTTGGTGGACAGGGACATGCTTTCGAGAGAGCACAGGGGATGTGATAGAAATGGCGGAGGGCAGTCCAGTGGGAAGGGTAGCCGGGTTCCCGGGGGCAGGGCTGTCTGTGGACACGTGTGTTTTTTGTGTGTATGTGTATGTGTGTGGTTATGTGAATGTATGTTTGTGTGTCTGAGTGCATAGGGGGTGTTTTCATACGTGAATGTGTATATATGTGTGATATGGCCATGTGTGTATGTGTGGTGGGAGTGTGTATGGATGTGTGGTTGTATACATGTGTTGTGTTATGTGTGTCTGTCTTGTGTGACCGTGTGAGTATATATGGTGTGTATGTGTGTTTCAGAGTTTGTGCATATGAGCGCAGGTGTGCATGTGGTGTGACAATGTGGTTATGTGCATGAGTCTGTATTTGTATGTTTATGTGTGTAATCTGTAGGTCTTGTGTATGTGAAATATGTACGTATATATGTGATATGTGCATGTGTGAGTGCATGTGGTGTGACTGGTTGTGTGGCTGTATATTTTGAGTGTGTGCATATAGTGTATGTATGAATGTATGGTTGTGTTTATGTGTGTGTTTGAGTGTGCATGTGTCTGAGTGTGCATGTGGATTTGCATGCGGGGTGTGTGAGCGTGATTATATGCACATGTGCATGTCTGAGTGTGTGTGTTGATAACATGTGTGAGTGTGCATGTGGTGTGAGTGTGTGAATGTGTATGCAAGTATGGAGGTGTGTGTGACCTACACACACAGCCGTCAGTAGGCATGGGCCAGGTCATAATGGAAAATGTGGTTCTTGGTATGGATCATGGTTGGAAACACTTGCATGACACACCTTTCATGTGCCACATGCAGCCTGGGATTGGAAGGCCTCGCCTGGATCATCCCTGGAAGCGTGTGGAGCGTGGTGTCCAGCAGAGCTCGACAAATCCTTGGCACTACAGAGTTCTCTGCAGGCCCGTGCCCCACAGTTGCATAGCAATGGCCCATGAGCGCTACCGTGTGCCGCCCGGCTCAGCCCCGACAACAGATTCCCACACATTCTATGAAACACCACCATCTGTGGACTCTTTAGATAGTACTAGGTCAGGCCCATGGGCGTTTTCTTTTCAATAAGTGACTTTTTAAAATTAAAGGTGATTTAAACATTAGAAACTCTCCAACACTGTCTGCCTTAGACAAGGAAACAGTTAACTGAGACGTAATTGTAAGAAATGTATCTGACAGACTGTGCTTTTGTAACCTTTCAGAAAACGTTTGTGAAAAGGTCCTAAAGATCATATGAAGGGCCTGATGTCAGACTTCCCTCTCCATTATTTGAAACACAAAAAAGGTTTCACCCAGTGGCAATCCTGTGAAGACCAGGTGACCCCAGAGCAGGCAGAGTGGGAGCACTGGGAGGTGTAGGGCCATGCTTGTGAGCCTGGACACAGGGTGCCGTGTGTTGGCCCAGCGCTCAGCTTGGCGGTCTGAGATGTACAAGATGCCGTGCGTGCATTAGCCCGGCGGCCGGCTTGGCAGTCCGGGATGTACAGGGTGCCACGTGTGTCTTAGCCCGGCGGCCAGCTTGGCAGTCCGGGATGTACAGGGTGCCACGTGTGTCTTAGCCCGGCGGCCGGCTTGGCAGTCCGGGATGTACAGGGTGCCACGTGTGTCTTAGCCTGGTGGTCGGCTTGGTGGTCCGGAACGTACAGGGTGCTGTGCGTGTGTTAGCCCGGCGGTCAGCTTGGCGGTCTGGGACATACTGGGGGGTGCCATGCATGTGTTAGCATGGGGGTCGTCGGCTTGATGGTCTTGGACATATAGGTTGCCATGTGTATGTTAGCCCAGTGGTCATAGGAGAGGAGGCGCAGGCTTCTCATAGTGGCCTCCTTGTCTTTTGTACCATTACAGCGAAATGTTTGTCCCTGCCTGAAGAGTAAATTACATGACATGTTAGCTTGGGCCATGGATCACATGTAACAGGACAGACATTTTTTTCAAGTGCAAACTGGAAGTGAACACAGTCCTGCCCACCCAACTTTGAGTCTTGACCTTGTTAAGTGGAAAATGTGCCAGGATCCTACCAGGGACACTCGGGCTAATTCCACCTCTTTTGTTCTTTTGCCAGTCATGACAGAACCATGCAAGATATTGTTTACAAATTGGTACCTGGCCTCCAAGAAGGTAAGTCTCGGGGTGTCTTCTTTGTCCCCTCAGTTCACAGCATGGCCTCAGCCAGCTCATCTTTCCATGGGTGCCTCAGTTCTCGCACCAGCTCCCCTTTCCTTGTGGAGAGCAGGGTTCCCCGCTGTCTGAAAGTAGAGCTTTCCTATGAGACCTCTCATCAGCTGAAATGGCATAAAGCAAAAAAACAATTACCATTAATTTATGTGGGAAAACACTTTGAGCATTCTCAGACCCCAGAAATAACCTGTCAAATCATTTGAGGTGCAAACGGTGTGGAGGCGGCAGCATCTGACCTCCTGGAACTTCACGGGAGGAGACAGGGCCACCAGCAGCAGCGCTGGCCGGCAGCCGATTGCCGTGAGCTCAGACGCCCCGCCACCTCTGACCCTTTCACCAGTGCCGACCCCAGCCGTCCCTCCCACAGCGCTCGCTCTACTTCTCTGCTGGGTTCAGTGATTCATTGCAAAGGCCACGCACGACTCACAGACGGTCCTCGTGACCATGGGGTTTATTAGGGAAGTAACAGGCTACAGTTCAGGTTCAGGAGCACTCAGGATACAGTTCTTCGGTCAGGACAACTCCCCCCTCAGCTGTGCCTGCAGGCACCCCTCTCTCGGGGTCTCAGCCCCTCAGTCTGGCCTCTGCCGTGGTGGGACAGGTGTTTCAAAGCCCCTTTAGCTCTGCTGATGGGTGTCCCCCACTCCCCTGGCTGGCCTCCTGCCCAGATGCACTCGGCTCTCTCACTCCACGGCCGGCAAGCCCACTGCCCTGTCTCGTGCTGGTCTCTTGGTCCTGCTGCCGCCAGCTTTCTGCTTTGTCTCAGCATGGGGACCTCGAGTCCAAGGACACACTCCGCTCCCAGCACTTCTCTGTCTTGATGGCACTGAGAAGGTTTTCTCTTTTCCGCCCCTGAGAAGGGCCCATTTTAAGCCTAGAGGGATGGTGAAACTGACGAGTTCTCACATCAGGGTTCTATATGCCTCATTTCCATGGTCCCCCCAACAAGGGTGCCATGTACCTTATTGTCATCACTACCAAGCTGTCCAGTCCCCTTGAACCACAAGCACCATATGTTTACATAGCTCCACCCAGTCATCTGGTGGGAGTCACAGTGCCACGCCAAATGAGCACAACCGCTAACGTGCCACTGACGGACAGTGTGCACGAACACAGCGCAGCCTCGGCGGCTCGCTGCCAAGACGCTGAGTGCAGTAGTTCCCAGGGAAGGCGCTTGGTGGTGCCACTTGCTGCCCAGGCGCCGCCTCTTCACCAGCTCGCTACAGAGCAGACGCTGCACACTGGTTTCGCTTCTCTCCTCTTTCCGTCAAAGTGAAAATCTTTGGCTTTCTTCAGTTAGTGGAAACAGCTAACATAGGTCTTTGGTAAAAGCAAAGTGGCATAGAACGAGCTTTCAAAAGTGGGGGCTGCCTGTATCACCAGCTTGTCTCTCCATGCTGTCAACTGGGAGTCCCCAAGTGGCACAGACAGTTAGGCACTCAACCACAGGCTGAAAGGTTGGCGGTTCAGATCCACCCAGGGACACCTCGGAAGACAGGCCAGGCTATCTGCTTCCGAAGGGTCACAGCCTTGAAAGCCGTGTGGTGTCTCTCTGCTCTGTGCGCTGGGCACCACGGGCTGGGAGCCACACAACAGCAGTTAACAGTGACAAGTCTTAGCTCCTTTGGGCATGGTTTGCTGGTTTCTCCCCTGGTCTTTGTAGGTGTATAGATTTCTCTTCCTTCTCCCAGCAGTTTTCGGTTGCATATTGTTGCATGCCAGTCCTGGTTTGGGCGTCAGGTGTGGTGGTCAGTGGAGGCCTCCCCTGTCTAGCAGGGCTACGTGGGCCCCTGGAGGCCTGGGATGGACTGAGAGGGTGTCTCTGGGTTGCGCTCACACCCAGAGGCCCTGCTTCCTTCCACCTCAGCCACACCCTTGACCAGTTCCGTCCTGGCAGCACAGCAGACATGTTGCCAGAGGGAGTGCCAGAATGTTCTCAGACAGCCTACATGCATAAACACCAGAGCTCACTTAGGATGAGAAAGAAATATCACTTAGTGCAAGTACCCTGAGAGCCAAACTAAAACCAACCTACTGCCAGCAAGTCGATTCTGACCCTGCAGGACAGAGAACTGCCCCACAGGGTCTCCAAAGTTGTCATCTTTACAGAACCAAAGCCCAAACCACACTCACTGCTGTGGAGTAGATCCCGACTCACAGCACCCCTAGAGGACAGAGTGGAACTGCCCCACAGGGTTTCCAAGGTTGGCTGTCATCTTTACAGGGGCAAAGCCCAAACCAAACCCATTGCCATAGAGTTGATTCTGACCCACAGCGCCCCTAGAGGACAGAGTGGAACTGCCCACAGGGTCTCCAAGGCTTGATCTTTGTAGAAGCACATTGCCATAGCTTTCTCCCATAGATCAGCTGATGGGCTTGAACTGCTGATCATTTGGTGAGCAGCCAAGGGCTTAACCACTGTGGCACCAAGGCTCCTTACCTAGAAAACAAAAATATACTATTTAGTACTTGTTTTTAAGCATTCCCCAGTGCCTAGGGAAGTAACAGGCAGTTACTCTTCATTGTATGCGGACGGTGATGTGGAGGAGGACAAGTGAGGGAGAACAGGCCTTAAGCCTTGGAGCTCAGATTTAGGGTCCGGCTGGAGGCTGGTGCAGCCATCCCTGCTGATAAAATTTAGATGTATTTTCTTTCAGAGATAAGCTGTGGGAGGAACCATTCAAGTTGGGTTTTCTCATTGTATTATTTCAGAATAGGATGATAATTTAAAGTCCAGCTTAAAACGTTAGTGTGGAACTGGCCTGTGGTACCTGACTTAGGGAATCGGACTGTTCATTATTTTGGTTTTGCTGCTCACAAAATTCATTGGTCCATGAGGAGGTCAGATCCCTGAGGAAGAATACACCGACGGAGACTAGCAGTCTCTGAGATCTGAGAGGCTGAGTCCAGCCCAGACTTTCAGTCCTGGGAGCAGGCCAAGAACACATCAAAATGAAATGCTAAGACTTTCTAATCTGTTCATAACAGAATGCTTTGAACATATCAAGGTAGACAGGATCCTGTATATAGTCCCCACGGATTCGTGACCCATCTCACTGGTCACCAGCCCTCTGTCACTCTTGCTACTTCTGCCGCTTCCTCCCCTGCCCATTTCACGTTATTTCATCTGTAAGTATTCCATATGTATGTGGTGAAGATGAGGGCTCTTTAAAAAACAAAAAACATAACCACAGTACTTTGTAACACTAAAAAAAAAAAGCAACAGCAACTCCTTAGTATCGAATCTCCATTCAGTGTTGGAATTTCCCATGGTCTCAAAAATGCCATGATTTGGTTTGGTTTTAGTTCAGGACCCAAAGAAGACCCACACATGGGATCATGTGTGTGTCTCTGTTGGAGACCAAGAGAGAAGTTAGCAAAGGACAAGAGAAGGCAAGGCCTCTCTCACGGTTCAATGCTTACTTGGTGTGTTAGACTGGGTTCTCTAGAGAAACAAAACCAGTAAAGCTTATATATATGTATATACAGAGAAATTTATCTTAGGAAAATGGCTCACACACTTACAGAAGCTGGCAAGTCCAAAGTTCCTGGACCAAATGTCAAGCTGGAGGCTTTTCCACGTCAAGCTGGAGGCTTTTCCCGACTCTTGCAGCCACAGGGGCTGAGGAGCTCAAGGCTGGCAGGCAGTACACCAGCTGTTAACTCCAACGAATGACGAATCCAAGATCTCCAGGCTGAATGGTGGACTGTTCACTCACGGACAGTTGTAGGCAGCACAACAGGATGCAGATCCACAGAAGAGAGTCTCATTTTCCCAGGATGCCCACAGATATATTAGAAGCAGGCCACACCCCTAGGGAAACTCCCTTTCAACAGACTGCCTGCTCAAACATAATCATCTGATCCTATCATGGGAATAACCACATCACAGCACTCAAACCACACAGAATTGTGGTCCAGCCAAGTTGATACACAGCTCCAACTATGACACTTGGCAATACATTAAGTATCAAAAGTAGATGTTATTCCAGTAGTACATGTTTTTATCTTGTTGGGACATTTCATACTTTGGGTCACAGAGCTCTAGTAAACATTTATTGTTTTACACTTGTTATTCCTGAGGAGGTTTTTATGATTGTTTCAGTGACCATCTGTTGTCCTCGTGGAGGAGTAAAACTTTGTAGAGAATAAGCTGATTGTATGGATTCCAAGAATGATGATGTAATCATGTGTAAACATATAAATAAAGTAGAACAAAGCATCAGGGGTCGCTCTCGCAGAAGATGCAGGACGTCTGCCTGGCCCCCCGTTCCTTTTAAAAAACCATTAATCCTTCCATGTCACTTTGTTTCGTGACCTGTGCGGTTTTGCCAGGCACGGCGTGTCTCCTAAGTTTCTCTGTCTCCCATGTCCTGGTGTGTCTGTCCCGTAGAGGCCCCAAGGCTGGATTGAGTCACGTCACCCCTACGGTGCCCTCCGCGTTTCCTGTAAACTGCTAACACTGGCAGGTGGATCTGGAGGTGTGGTTCCATTTAGGCAAGCCCAGAGCACAGTCAAGGTGTACTCCTCCATCTGGAGGCAGACACCGTGTGATTGTCCTTGACAGTCAGTGAAATAGTGCTGTGCCAGTCCCGTCACTCCTCATGGTGGGACACGTCCATGCAGACAGACTTCACGGTTTGGCTTCCCTGAGGTTCCATTTGTGTAGGAAAGGCAGAACAAATGCCTGAGTCTCCCCTTTATTGGTTTCAAGGTAATATGTTGGTTGATGAACACTCTCCAGACATGATCAGTAGGTAGATGTAACCCCACAGCCTAGTGTCTGCTGCCTCTGGTAATGCAGTATTGTGCAGTATTGTGTCGTAGCGTTTCTCTCTGTTGTCTGTATCTTTTGTGCACCTCTCTGTGTCCTCCTTTTCCATATTGTTATTGTATGGCTCACACGCTTTTGTTATATTGCCTTTCCCTTCACCCAGATC